TGTAGTCCCAGCTACTTGGGAGGCTGAGGCGGGAGACTCGCTTGAGCCCAGGAGTTGGAGGTTGCTGTGAGCGTGATGCCATGGCACTCTACCCAGGGGAACAGCTTGAGGCTCCGTCTCAAAAAAAAAAAAAAATGTCTGTACTATCCAAAGCAATCTACAGATTAAAGGCAATTCCCATTAATTTACCACAGCATATTTTGAAGAACTGGAAAATATAGTTCTTTGTTTTGTATGGAACCAGGAAAAAATTACCATGGCCAAGGCAATTCTTAGTAAAAACAAAGCCAGAGGCATCACCCTACCAAACTTTAGGTTACATGACAAATCCACAGTGAACAAAACAGCATAGTATTGGCACAAAATAGAGATATAGACACAGACGTATGGAACCAAATAGAAAACCTAGAGGTGAAACCAGTCTCTTATCATCATCTGATCTTCAATAACCCAAACAAAAAAATATAGTGGGGAATCCCTATTCAATAAATGGTTCTGGGAAAACTGGATAACAACATGTAAAAGACTGAAAATGGACCCACACCATTCGCCACTTAAAAAAACTGACTCACAATGGATAAAAGAGTTAAATCTAACATATGAGATGATAAAAATCCCAAAAGAAAAGTGAGAGAAAAACCTTTGATATCAGACTGGGGAAAGATTTCATGAAGAAGACTTCAGTGGCATCTGCAACAACAACAACAAAAATAGATAAATAGAACTTAAGCTAAAAAGCTTGTGCACAGCTAAAAAGACATAACAAAGCAAATAGACAACTTTCAGAATAGGAGAAGCTATCTGCATGTTATGAATCTGACAAAGAGTTAGTAACTAGAATCTACAGAAAACACATTAATCCCAGAAGCACAGGGAATTGGAAACACACAGAAGAGAGGTAAACATCTGGTAACTGTGGTTCACGATTACAGCCTCTTCCCCATATTACTGAGTAATGGTACAATCATGAAGACATGGATGTATGGTGGCTCATGCCTATAATCCCAGCACTCCGGGAGGCCAAAGCAGGTAGATTGCCTGAGCTCATGTTTTTGAGACCAGCCTAAACTAGAGCAATACCTGGTTTCTAAAAATAGCTGAGCATTGTGGTAGGCCCCTATAGTCCCACTTACTCAGGAAGCTAAGGCAAGAGAATCACTTGAGCCCAAGAGACTGAGGTTGCTGTGAGCTATGACACCATGGCACTCTACCTAACAAAGGTGTCAAAGTAAGACTATCTCAAAAAGAAAAAAAAAGACATAGATGTAAGTGTAAAATACATTTTAGGACATTCACATCACACAATTTAGTTTTGGAACATAAAAAGGTAAAGCTCAAATCTAGAAAACTCATTTATATAAAAATATAAATGATAATACTGGTTGTCACTATTACGTAGACTTTCTAATTTTGTTTCTTTAAGAAAATTTTTATATCAATACACAATCACAGTTACATAATCAAAATTTATGATCTTATTTTAGTCTCCGGGAACTTAAGGAATATAATAAAGAGTTTAAAAAACCAATGAGCCAACCTTTACTGTCAATGAAGATATATCCATCAAAACGATCTCTAAAAAGAAGGATGTCATCAGGATTTCTAAAATTAATGTATGCTCTTGAGTAGAGATGAGGATAAAGACTGAAATAAGAGATAAAGTGATGATTAGTAAGAGACACAGACTTTTTTTCTCCCCGAGACAAGAGTCTCACTATGTCACCCTCCATAGAGTGCCGTAGCGTCATAGCTCACAGCAACCTCAAACTCTTGGGCTCAAGTGATTCTCTTGCCTCAGCCTCCCAAGTACCTGATACTACAGGCACCTACCACAACGCCCAGCTACCTTTAGAGATAGGGTCTCACTCTGGCTCAGGCTGGTCTCAAACCTGTGAGTTCAGGGCAATCCACCTGCCTCAGCCTCTGAGAGCACTAGGATTACAGGCATAAGCCACAACGACCTGCAAGACTTCTTTAATTTAGTCTTTTATTTGCCTTTTTGAATATAACAAACTACTTCAGGTAAAATGTTTATACTAAAGAATCATCTTATAGCAATTTGGATATTCTTTAGCAAAAACAAACCATTAACTGAGATCTTATTAATTACTCGGGAGAAAAAGGGTAGCTTCTCTGCACACAGAGTCAAAACACAGTCCTCCCAACCTAAAAACAACAAAGTTTATTCGAGGGTCACTCCTAATGCATCATGACTGGAATACATGCTAGCCATGACTCATTCATAAAAGGAAACACTGTACTGTAAAAGAGATTCTTCACTGACCTAGAGAACACTTTTAGGCATTTTTAAATAGTATTTACTACAGCACAGGGCATGGAATCTACAGAGAGAACTAAACCCTCCTCGTTATCTCACGTCACCAATCTCCATCCCCAGAGCAATTTTAAATCCCATTTCACAGAAGAGAACACAGGCTTGGAGAAATGAAGGCGCTTGAGAGGAGCAGTGGAGTAAAGAGGAACGGGGATTCCAACCCAAGTCACTCGGTACCAGTTTTTCCAAACTTTAGTTATTTGAAAATCATGTCTGATATTTTGTAACATATCTATTTACTTATTAACGATTGTTTTTCTTTGAGTAGATTGTCATTTTTGTTGAAACATTACTTATTCAAAAAGAACTTTAGGTGGCTCTTGTGATCTCAGCACTCTAGAAGACAGGGGGGGAGGATCGCTCGAGGCCCGGAGTTGGAGATCAACTCGAACAAGAGCGAGACTCCATCTCTATTTCATTCAAAAATTAAAATAATAAAATAAAAAACAAAAATAATTTATACAATCACCATAAGCAACAAATCTTGATAATGAAAATAGGGTAATAATAACAACGAAGATAAAATCCCTGCGCCAGTCCCAGCCTGGGCCTCTGTAGTCGGCGAAAAGCAACTCTGAAGTGCTCAGGCCCGGGAGCCGCGTCGCCGCCGCTGTCAAAGCCGAGAGAAGGGTCCCACCCTGGGGCGCAGGGCGCACCGGCCACCCCACTTTCGTCACAGTTGAATACCCTGCACATCTAGCCCCACCGAGTAACACGGGTCGGATTGGGTCTGCTTTCCTTTCCGGGCCATGACGGGGGCGGCAGCACGCGGCTGGACGGCAGCGCCCACGACTCCACCACATGCCGGCAGAACAGCCCCTGGGAGACCGCGGACACGACCCCACCCCCGTACCTGAGGTCAGCCGAGAAGAATTCGAAATAGTCGTGCGCGGGCAGCGGGCGCAGTTGCTCCTGCAGCTGCTCCTGGGTGAGACCAGGGGGAAGCCGCCGGATGACCACCTGGGAAAAGACAAAACCACACGAGCGCCCCGCTCCGGCCACGCCCTTCCAGACCCCCGCCTCCCGGCCGCCTCCTCAGTTTCGCCCCTCCCTGAGCCCAGTCCTCATCCCGCCCATTTCCTCGCAGCCCTGCCCCTCCATGCTCAACGCCACACTCTTCTCGCGATGTTTCCCCTCACAGCCACATCCTAGCCCCGAGCTTCTCTCCGCCCCCACCTTGCTTAGGGCCGTCTTCTTTTCCTCGCGAGGTTTGCCTACACCGCCCCCACAGCTCAAGAATGAGGCTGGCAGTGTCTCAGGCTCTCGCCGCGGCGACTCACGGCGGAACTGACCGTCTGGGGTTGAGAGCTTGTCCGTCCCGCACGGGCTCCGCGCGGCAACGGTCGTCTCCAGGCCTCCGGCCCTTTCTGCAGACCGCATATCGCCTCCGCCGCGAACTTGTCGGCGCCAGAGCCAGGACGAAAACTCGCGAGAACTCGAGCTCGCCCCTCCCCCGCCACGTTGGACTAGGGCGCTCCGGGTTCCCCGCGGAGTCGACAAGATTCTCTGTAGGCGCTCATTTGGGCGCTGGTCTGGACCTCGAGCTCTGGGTGCCGAAGTTTGCGGTCCGTAGGCGGGTTCCGGCAGGGGGCAAGGTGCCGAGACCGCCAGGAGTCGGCCCCAGGAAGGTCCACCGCACTGTGGGGGCTGGGTCCGAGACCAGCGTACTACGAACCCTCGCAGCCCATCCTGCCGGTCAGGGTTCGCTGAGCGCTTTTACTCCAGGCCTCAGACTCCTTCCTGGGGCGGCTTCAGAACCGAGTTCACATTTTTGTTTCTCAGGCAGTAACTTCGGTTACAATAATTGACTCGCAAGTTATTTTTAAATGCATCTCCCCTCCCTGTTTTCCCATATATTATCTTTGTTCATGTTGGGTGTAGTTTCAAAGGGGCTTGCGTTTACAGCATCTTCTCCCCAGGTACCTAAAACAAAACAACTGAGAACGAAAGCACCTTGCTTTGCTACTGCCAGTTCTCCCGCTCAGCCCTGTCGCCTACGGGCCTGCTAGTCGTCATCTCTTGGAAAACCTAGAAGCTGAAACGTGAGAAAACCAAAAAACCTCTTTTATTCTGGCAGGCCAAATAAACGTGGAAAACCTCAGCACTTCATTAACAGAACGCTTTGATTTTACTTATTTTAAAAATAATTGTTTTGAGTTCAGCCTCTTGATTCTCTGGCCCCAGTAAAGGAGAGGGAGGCACACAAATAGCGCATGTAGAAACGCCATTGGAAAAAAATGAAAAAAACCACGAGTGTGGGTCCGAACATGGCGGGTCCCCAGCAGGTCACTGCAGCCGACTCCACCCGGGACAGCGACAGGAGCTGGGACCGGCTCCGAGCTGGCTCTACCCACCAGTGCTCAGGCCCGTCTGTGTCCGGGAGTGAAGAATTGTGGAGTAAAACATGGGGTCCTCAAGAAATGAGTGCTCTTATTACTCTGCTTAAGGAGGTAGAAATACAGGGAATATGTTTTAGATAAGTTGAGATAAAAAGTTTTGATTAATGGAGCATTTCACTTGCCTGGAAGATTTATGCACAATACCTTATTAACGATGCTGTGAATAAATGTTTTATAATAACTATTTTTTTCTATGAAAAAGTAGGATACTGTGTCCTCTAAAGTTAGGACTAGGAGTTTGAAAGAAATGATTTTCAACAAATGAAGCGCACAATATTGTTTCATAAAGATAACATAGAGTAGGGTGTGTTCTCTGCTTATACAGTTACTGGCTAGGATTTATACCAAGATTCTTTCTAATTTTGGTAAAGAGGTTAAAAAAAAATGTTTAAAATTAGAGATTTAGTAAAATTGTCTTGTACCAACTTTTTAAAATATAAGCTTCTCAGAAACAAAAAATTTCAACACGTCTTCTCACAAAATAAATCACTACCCAAATGTGTACAACTGTGTAAAAACTTTTGCTGACCTCAACAAATGGAGCATCTCTGCTCCAGTCAGTACTGCAATGGCCAATTTCAGATATTCCTACAAAATAGATAATCTAGCTGTGACATCATTACTGATAATCACCTGCTTATTTCACAATGGATTTTCAATCTTATTACTATGTGAGGAAAGTACAAAACATACTAAAATGAATAAACACTGGCCAAGAGAACCTGTAACATTTACCCACAATGATAAAGAGGACAGCAAATTAGTATGGGATAAAGTAGGTAAAACTCAAATTCTTTATCTTATACATAATAGGATACAGAATTTATAAAGAATAATGATTATACTTACTTTATAGGACAAAATTGTAATTATTAGCATTAGTATTTGTTCAATTATTTTGGTTTTTTAAAATGTCACAAGATGTACTTGCTAGTCAGTTGGCTTAATACTATAATGTTTGAAAATCTAAATTTTGGCAAGTACTATACACAATTTTATATGACTCCTTCAATATCTACACAATACTGAAAGATCTAGCTACAGTTTTTTTTGTTTTTTTTTTTT